CCAATTGGGAAACACCTCTTTGTGACATTTCTTGTGATCGTGATTCCTAGGAACTGGATCTCAGGTATTTTCTATGGCCATTTGTGTGAGTTTATATTTGTGCTTTGTTTATATTTGAGCTTTGCTATTTGGTCGAAGACAAGGGTTGTGTTTTGTTCATATATGTGCTCTCAAAAAGACTAAGTTTTCAAGAATGAGATAACAATTTGATGATTTTTTTCTTATGATTTTAAGGGCAAAATGCAAGCATCATCTTCAACAATGAATTATAAGAATAAAGGGTATGTATGTCACAAGTGTGATGTAGATGGTGAAGCATTAGTATCCCACTCAGAAGCTAATCCTGGAAAAGTGTATTGGAAATGTCCAATGTGTGGGAAATTCTTACGTTGGGATGAGAACACGAAGACAACCTCCAATGGGTAAATGGCTGAGAACATGAAAGGGATGAAGATGATGGCAATGTCTGATAAACATGTGATGAAGGACAAGAAAGAGATGCAGAATTTTCTAAGGAGTTTGCTGAGTGAGATGGGAATGAAGTTTATGCTTATATTTGGGTTGCCGGTTGTGTTTATGATTGTGATTATCATTGTCTTGTTAATTGTCATTGTGAACAAGTTCTCTCTGTAGTTTTATAGTAGAGTAAGGTCTGGTAGAGTAAGGTTTGTCTTAGTGTTGGTAGTAATGGAGCTAAAATAAAATTCTCTACAGTCTGTATGACCATGTACTTCATGTTGGAGTTGTTAGATGTTTTGTTTTGGCTATGACAATATTGAAGATGAAATAAATATGTTTCTCCTTTCTTAGTGAAAATCTTTAATATTTGAGTTGTTCCAATTAAAGAGCAAAAACCATGGCTCAGATGTGAAGTGATTTCCAGCAAGAGTAAATTTGGCCACAAAAGAGAAAAAATTAAGATTGTATTTTCCTCAAAGTTAGGCCTCTTTGAATTGTATAATCCTTCATAACCCTAAGGAAGTCTTCCTTGCAACTAAAAATATCACCCACATTTAAGTCAACCATTTCATCTCTGCTTCTAGTCCAAAGCCTCCCTCTGGCCATTTTATTAACAAGAAGTTGACTATCACTTCCGCCCTCATCTACTAGTTCTTGACATAAAGACATCATCTTACTTGTGTCACCATCTAGATCTATCTCTTCCTCAATGTCAGATTCTTTCTCTACAAAAACTTCCTCACTGCATAAGCTGTCTTCATCCCCATGAATGTAGTCACTACCATCCTAATCTTAAGTTTTGTCTTGCTCGATAAGTTGTCCTAGTTCACCTTCAACAAAAGTGGGAACTGCATTCTCTTCTATAAACATATCAAGCAGGGGTATTTGGGGTTTACTCAATGAAAGAATGTCATAAGCTTCTAATCCTTTCAATTCCTTACTAAAAAGCTCTATGTTCAATTGAGTATTTTCATATTGGTGCTTCCCCTTGTTTTTCTCTCTACCTTTTCCTTTTTTCTTAGGAGAGGAGGCTTGTAATGATGGTGCAGGGGTAGAATGCAGTTTTGATGCCCTATGCATTTGCCTTCTCACTGCTAACTTAGGTTTTTGCCCAAACAAATGTGTGCTTGCTTTTGTTGGAATTTTAGACATTTCAAAAGGGGTTTCAACCATGCAGTCAGCCCAATGATCCCATTGCTCTACTTCACTCACTGTTGACTCCTTGGGAAATTGAAAATTAAGATCAGAAAAGACATTATCAACCACCATATCCTTTTCAGTTTGTAGGTTCTCAAGACTCTCAGCCATCTTTTGCATTTCACTAGCCTCCTCTAACTCAACAACATATAAGGGAATAAATTTTGTTCTCTTAAGTTCCCCCCAGTGACCCATCAGTTCATTCCAATCTCTATCCATTCTAAGTGGCTTTCTTTGTAACTCCTTTCGAGGAGGATGCCATTTAAACCCAATAAATTGAGGCAGCCTAACATTCTGTTTCTTAGACAATGATTTCACATCACAATAAAGATCTTTCAAGAAATACATATCCAAATCAATGCCTTTTACCAAAATACTCTAGTGCTTCACATACACTGAAAAGCCTGTAGGAGCCTGGACAACATATTGAAAAAGAAAGCTATTACATAAGTTCCCAAACTCCAAAACCCTAGTTTATGCTTTAAGAAGAATTAGCGCGAAAAGCAAATACATCAACAAACATACCATTAACGTGAAGAACAAATTTATACAATGATGTGAAGAGGTCCACTGTAGGAGGGTGAGGTTGAACTGCGTAGACTCTTGCTTGATGATTCAGACTTCAAAACATCAGAGGTCTGCGTACTCTTGCCTCTCTTTCAGTGTTTACAAAGGCATAATATGGATTATACTGTCGTCCGGTTTATGAGGACGGTTTTCCGACTAATTTTAACCTGGTACCGGTAGGAAGACTCCCACAGAGTAATTGCAGTGAATTTTAAATGCCTTACATGTTTTATAACAATAGAGGGACCCGGGAGCCATTACAACAAAACTGACGTCACCTCTGAGTAACTTTTTGCCAAAAAGTATATCCTAATTTTTACACTAAAGTAAACACAGATATAATATGTATACGAATAGACATAAAATGTTTGTGTTTATCTTTAGTGTACAATTGAGATACATTTTTTATTTACTCGTAATATATTTTATACTATCTCCATCCCAAAAACAACTATTGATTATTTGATAAAATAAAATATTATTATTAATTCTTATTTTGTAGAACTTTTGGCATAATTTTAAATATTTAATTTTTATATATTTTTAATTTTTATATTAATCATTAACTAAAATGAACTTTAAAAAATTTAAAATTTTATTTTATTTTACATAAAATGTAAATTAAATATTTTGAAACCGAGGTAGTAAATGAAATGGATAAAGCTACTTGTACCCCAAAGTTTTTCTACCCCATTTGTATACTGCAGGTATGCACTAACATTTTGTGTTGGTGTAATGCTAATTTTTGTTAACACACTAACACTTTATGTCAGTGCAAATTTTTGTTAAAGCATTTCTATTAGTGTGAATTATCAAAATGTTAGTGTATATTTTTAGTATAAGTTTGAATAAGGAATTTTGGTGTAAATGTAGCATGTTCCAAATGAAATTAATAGGAAGAAGAAAAAAATCAAAAGGAAGTCGTCACGTGATGTCAGGGGACAAGGATCATGGGGGTATGCACTGTTAACTTTTTGGGAAAGCCAGGCAGATATGCCGTGCCGTGTCATCATTACCCTCCTTTTCTTCCTAGAGTAGTGTCCTGTTACTACTTTTTTCCTAATAACAATAATTCTATTTCTTTTCTACTCCAAATATCTCTTATCTTTATTTTCTAGTCCGTATACAGTGTATGGATGTACCCCCTTCTTAAAAGTTGTTCTATGATTTTTAAGATATGACTTTAATTCTTGGCAAGTGCAGTAGAATGTAATTAGATTATGTATAAGACCTCTATAAGAACTGGGTGTAGACTTACTCTTTATTATCAATCTACAATCAAAGTCTAGTTTATCACTCTCAGTGACGGTACGATTGGATCTGAGGTGACTCTCGAAGATGTGACTCATTTTTTGTATAAGCTAGTCAAAATAACTTATAAACAATTTTTAACAAGTATTCTATCCCATGTCATGCACGGGTCGAACGAATGTTTTTTTATTCAAATAATTTTTTCTTTTTAGTTAGTAATTAACAAATTGGGCAAAATATATCATCAAACTGTAGAATTTAATTAATGATATACCATAAAAATTTGCTAACCAAAATTTATCTATATATAAATCGAAAAGAACATGTAAATTTATAAATTAAATTCATATTTTTTAGAAAACATCGGGGTAAACGAATATTTTTAACTCCATCCATGCATGAGGTTGAACAAATATTCTTTTACTCTGTAATATTTCTTCAGTGCTTCTGATTATTAAATCAAACAAAATCTAATACTAACACCAAAACTTAAACAAAGGACATAATACAGAGTAAATAACACGTGCTAATAAAAATTCTTTGAGACTCTATTTCATACGCAAAATTTGAATTCAAATGCAACACATGACCATTAACTATAAAAATATCAATATCTTTCAAGTTTTTTTAATAACTTGTTGCATAGCTCATGGTGTCCATGTTACGGAGTACAACTGTTGCAGTCATAGTTTTAAAAATTGGACCGGACCGGCCGGTTCGAACCTCAGGACCTCTTAGAGATTTGGTTGAGTTCCTAACCATCCAAGCAAGGGTGTTTTTTGTTACAAGTTCACCTAATCTTTTACTCCCTCCGTCCCGCTTTGTTTGTCCACTCTTGACTTTTGGAACTGTTCATCTAAGCACTTTGACTCATCAAATTCTCTCAATGTGTAAGCCTAAATGATGGTCAAGAACCACCGAGAATGAAGAATAATATAAGTTTTAGAGAGAGAGAAAGAGCAAAGTAGGAGTTTTTTGTTTCTTCTTCGATCCATTACAATGAGGGGTCTCACCCCTTTTATAGGGGATACAATACACATAGTCAAAGTTTCTCTGATCGAGGTTCGTCGCCTAGCGGACGTCATCCCTGTTATGCGTTGTCCCTTTCATCACGTCGCTGTCGCGCAGTCAACGTGGCCGGTCGCTATCCGGAAGTCGCTATCACGGTCCCCAGCCGAGCTCGCTACCCAAGCCGAACCCATAGGGCGAGCCGAGTTCATGGGCCGAGCAGAGAAGATCCTCCACGTGGCTGATGGGCCCCGGATGATGTGTCTTTTGGGGTCGTCCTCCATCATAAGCTCCCCACTCTCCGGGTTTCGTTGCAGTCAGCGATGGGACACGGGAGAGTATGGGCACTGTAGGAAAGCGGCGCGGGGTCCACGTGGAATAGTTGGCAGGTCATTGGTGCCATTTGGGCTTCGCCATCATGAAGGGATGCGTCGTTCCGTCTCCCTAGGCCAAGTGGCGGCCCATCATTACACCCATTCAACCCTTCCTCTATAAATACCCTCCCTACTCATCTCATTCCCTACTTTTAGAGAGAGAGAGAGTAAGATTCTTTGCTGTCGCTAGTCTTCCCGCTGCCATCCTCGTCCGTTCTCCGGCTCCGCACTAGGTTAGTCCTCTTCGGCCTTGCTCTTCCATGTCTTCCCAATCCTCAGTCTTTCGTCGGTCCGCGTCCGAACGCGACGCCGAGGGTTCTGTCACAGGCTCCGCCCAGGAAAGCGACTCCCGCTTGGCCTCCGTTGAGGAGATAGTCGAGGCGGTTGAGATCCCTCTTCAGTCCGAGCCTCGCAACCAGAGGCGCACTGCCCTGGAGGACTCGGGGATCCGAGCGCGGAAATGCACCCTCACGGCTGAGGAATTTCGCAAGGCGAAGCGCTTGGCCTCGGCGCCGGGTGTGACCGTGCGTCGTCCCACCCCCGAGCAGTCAGTCTTTTATGCTCCTTTGGGTTTCTTCGCTATCCACCTCAAATCCCTCGAGTACGGGTTTCGTTTCCCCCTCCATCAGTTGGTCATAGACTTTTTCCAACATTTCGATCTTCTCCCTTGCCAAGTCGTGCCCAAATCCCATCGTTACTTGGCCAGGTTCCTTATCCGTTGCCAAAGGACCGGGGTTCGCCCCGATCTGGCTCGCTTCCTGTTGCTCTTCCGGTTGGCGAAGTCATCTGGTCGGGCGAACTCCAACTCGGGTTCGTACGCCTCTATCTTCCAGAGGCAGGAGAGGCTTTTCAAGACGAGGAAGGACTCCGCCAAGAGTTGGAAGGGGAAGTTCATCTTTGTTTCTCTCTCCTCGGGCTCCCCTCTTCGTAAAGAGCCCCTCAGTTGCTTTCGACGCCGCTCCGCGTGTGTCACCTCGGACAAGATGCTCGAAGTAGAGACGCTCTGCCAAGGGGGGCCCTTTGAAGTCGGCTCGGTGGTGAGGAATGAGGCACTGGCGGCACTCGGCTTCGTCTTCCTATCCCTGGAGGATACCCAGAGGAGCATCGAAGAAGGCCCCTCAGGTCAGTGCACTCTTACGCTTGACCGTCCGTGCGTCGCCACTTCCGGATTCCCGCTCCTTCTCGTAGTTGTCCTTCCCTCACCACTTGTCTTCATTGGTTTTGTGCAGGTGAAATCATGCTTTCCAGCGCCGAGCGGATGAAGCTCATGTTCCCGGACGTTCCGAGCGGCAACTCCCAGGCTCCTCCCTCGGGCGGCCGTCCCCCGACTCCCCCCGTGAAGCCGACATCCGAGACGACACAGTAGAAGAAGAGGAAGGAAACGGCCTCGGCCGCCGACGCTTTGCAGGGGTTGGAGTCCCCCATGATGAAGGACTTCGGCCATCCCAGATATGTCAAGGCGGCCTTCCCCGCTCGGGTCTCCTTCCTAGACCGGGATTACGACCCGGAGACCTTCCCGCGCAACTTTACTCCTCCAACCGATCGTGCCAAGCTAAAAGATGTTGACCGGGAGACTCTGGCCTCAGATACCTTCCATGAGCTGGGCTCGGTAAGTTTCCCTTAATACACCTTACAAATATAATTCATCTGTGGTGCTCAACCCTTTGTTATTTGCAGGCGATGATGCACATGGTCGACATGAGTCAGCGGCTGCGCGCCAGTGAGGACGACCGGAGTAGGGCTTATGTTGAGATAGCCGACCTCAATGAGGCCTTGAAGGCGGCCAAGGAGCAGGCTCGCCAGGCCGAGGAGCGGGCTCAGCAACTCGCGGAGGAGGCTGCTCGCAAAGCGCGCCAGGAGGCTCGCGATCAAGACTTTGCCGAGTTCCTAGCATCGGATGCATTTCAGGAGGAAGCCTTCACTCGTATGAATGATTTGCTCAAGGCATGGGGGCAGACTCCCGAGGGTAAGGCATTTGCTCGCTCCGAAGGAACGTCGTGGTACAACCTCGGTCTATTCCGAGCGCAGCAGGTCCTCTCAGATTGGTTCCTCGCCGGGGAGGACTTCCCCGAGCCATGCGACAATCCTGATGAGCTCGACACTTCCATCTACTACCCGAATGGCGGGAACTCAGCCGGCGAGCAGCCGAGTGCCGAGTGAAATGACTTGAAACTTTGTTGTGTTTGATGTACTGCTGCTCAAGACTTTGTTCTCTTTTTTTTGAATTCGGATATGTTATGACTTGATGATTCGTACGGATGTGCTATGCCTCTCTTTTGCGTTTAATCTTACTGCCCTCGTCGTTTCTTTGAACTTGCGAGCTCGCTCCTTCCCCCGCCCAACCTGAGCTCGGCTGTGCCGAACAGAGGATACCTCGGGGCTTGGTCCCTTTTGTCTCCTCGTTAACCGAGACAACCTTGGGACCTGGGACCTTTTGACCTGCCTTCAGTACGACCATCCCCGTGCTGCCACGTGTACCTTCCCTCTATGGCAACATGCCTATATAAGGGGGGGGGGGGTTCTCACGATTTGCTCCATTCATATTTGCCCCACTCCCCTCGATTCCAGTGAGATGCGAGGGGAGACGCTTTCCTTTGGTAGCTATTCCCTCGGGGGCTCTTCTGCCATACCGACCAAATCTGGGCCGAGCTCGACCCCGCCGCATTCTCTACGGGATTCTTGGGACTCGGACTCTGAGTTCGAGTCGGTGCACCCCGATCCTTCTGCCAAGATCCCGGGGTTCATCTACTATTCGTCGGAGGACGAGAGGACCCCCTCTCCGTCGGCTCCGCCGGTCCGTCGTGAGGTCGTCGCCCCTCCGGTTCCTGTCGCCCGCGGTGGCCGAGGTCGCCGCCCTCCGGCTCTTCCCGCAGCGATCCCAAGCGAGAGTTCCGTGGCATCCCACCACCCGAGCCGTTGCTCCCTTGAAGACCCAGGCTCGCCCAGCTATGACGAGTCCACCGGGCACTCTGTCACCAGTCGGGCTCCTTCACCTTCTTACCCCCCACCTTGTCTTTGCGAGCGGGGGTGGAATTGTGGCATGCACTGAAGTCTACCCGTACTTTAATTGCATGGTGTTTAATTGTTGTAAGGCGTTTGTGCCATGTATTTGCCCGTTTTCCGGGATGAATAAAATTTGGATTTGATTAAGTCTTTTTCGCTTTTCGCCATTAGCCTTAAGGGCTGCACTCGGCTCTTCCCCTGAGGGGGAGTGCCGAACAAAAAGGTTAGACCTTCGTCCGGGAAGAACATCCGGACATGGTCTGCACTCGGCTCTTCCCCTAAGGGGGAGTGCCGAGCACGAAGGTTAGACCTTCGTCCGGGAAGAACATCCGGACATGGTCTGCGCTCGGCTCTTCTACTTAGTAGTAGTGCCGAACACGCAGGTTAGGCCTTTATCCGGGAAGAGCATCCGGACATGGCCTGTGCTCGGCTCTTCTCCTGAGGGGGAGTGCCGAGCACGAAGGTTAGACCTTCATCCGGGAAGAGCATCCGGACATGGTCTGCGCTCGGCTCTTCTACTTAGTAGTAGTGCCGAACACACAGGTTAGGCCTTTATCCGGGAAGAGCATCCGGACATGGCCTGTGCTTGGCTCTTCTCCTGAGGGGGAGTGCCGAGCACGAAGGTTAGACCTTCATCCGGGAAGAGCATCCGGACATGGTCTGCGCTCGGCTCTTCTACTTAGCAGTAGTGCCGAATACGCAGGTTAGGCCTTTATCCGGGAAGAGCATCCGGACATGGCCCGTGCTCGGCTCTTCTCCTGAGGGGGAGTGCCGAGAACGAAGGTTAGACCTTCATCCGGGAAGAGCATCCGCACATGGTCTGCGCTCGGCTATTCTACTGAGGAGTAGCGCCGAACACGCGGGTTAGGCCTTTGTCTGGGAAGAGCATCCATACATGGCCCGTGCTCGGCTCTTCTCCTGAGGGGGAGTGCCGAGCACGAAGGTTAGACCTTCATCCGGGAAGAGCATCCGGACATGGTCTGCACTCGGCTCTTCTACTGAGGAGTAGCGCCGAACACGCGGGTTAGGCCTTTGTCCGGGAAGAGCATCCGGACACGCATGTTGGACCATTGCAAAAAATTCCATTTCATTGAATTCAATCATGGTGTTGCGGGTTCCCTTTCTCGGGCCTGTGTACATTCGAAATTCTTTGATAAAACTTAACCAAGTTCTCAGCATTCCAAGTCCTTGGCACATCCCCTCCACTCGGCGTCTGCAGGCGGAACATTCAGGGGCCTACCACTTCTTTGATGATGTAGGGGCCTTCGTAATTCTTGGCAAACTTCCCACCTTCCAGGGGGCGGCTCACGGACCTCTTGCGCAGCACCCACTCTCCTTCGATGAACCCCCGTGCGCGCACACGCCCGTCATGGTAGCTCTTTACCTTCCTTCGGTAATTCTCCGCTCGTATGAAGGCCGCTTCTCGTCTCTCGTGCACGAGATGGAGCTCGGCTGCCAGGGCTTCTTCGTTACGCTCGGGGTCGAAGATCTCCTCCCGGTGGGTTGCGATGGAGATTTCTGCAGGTGCCCTCGCCTCGAATCCGTAGCATAAGGCGAAGGGGGTTTCTCCGGTCGCCCTTCTAGGCGTGGTCCGGTAGGTCCATAGGATGTACGGCAACTCTTCTGCCCACTCCCCTCCGCAGGCCTCCAACTTCCGCTTCAGCCCGTCGACTATCGTTTGGTTGGCGTTCTCGACCTGGCCGTTCGTCTGTCGGTACCCAACCGACGCATAGCTGTGCTTGATCCCCCAGCTCCCAAGGAAGTCATTAAAGGGCTTGGACTCAAATTGTGTCCCATTTTCCGTGATTATGTGCTCGGGAACGCCGAAGCGGCAGATGACTTGCTTTGCGAGAAACTTCTGGCATTGAGCTCCGGTGATACTGGCTAATGGGGCTGCTTCCACCCACTTAGTAAAATAGTCAATGGCTACGATGACGTACCTCACGTTCCCGGTGCCCCTAGGGAGTGCACCCACGAGATCCAGCCCCCACCGCGCGAACGGGATGGCTGTGCTGATGGGGGTGTAGTTGGTTGAAGGCCTCCCTGGTACCTTCTGGAACTCTTGACACACTTTACACTTCTTTACGAACTCCGCGCAATCCTTAACAATTGTTGGCCAAAAATATCCTTGAAGGGTTATCTTTCTTGATACCGCGTACGCTCCTTGGTGGGCGGAGCAGATTCCGGCGTGCACCTCCTCCATGACTTGTTTTGCTTCGGCTGGTCGGAGGCACCTGAGTAGCGTCCCGTTGTATGCTCGCTTGTATAGCTTCTCGCCTTCCAAGGTATACCCCGGTGCCCTTGTCCGGACNGGGATGGCTGTGCTGATGGGGGTGTAGTTGGTTGAAGGCCTCCCTGGTACCTTCTGGAACTCTTGACACACTTTACACTTCTTTACGAACTCCGCGCAATCCTTAACAATTGTTGGCCAAAAATATCCTTGAAGGGTTATCTTTCTTGATACCGCGTACGCTCCTTGGTGGGCGGAGCAGATTCCGGCGTGCACCTCCTCCATGACTTGTTTTGCTTCGGCTGGTCGGAGGCACCTGAGTAGCGTCCCGTTGTATGCTCGCTTGTATAGCTTCTCGCCTTCCAAGGTATATCCCGGTGCCCTTGTCCGGACCAACTTGGCCTTCATCGATTCGTCTGGGAGGGTGCCATCCTTTAGGAAGGCGACTATGTCGTCCGTCCAATCTCTGGGTTGAGCACAGATCATTGCCACGGGGAAAGCGTGGATGCTCAGCTCGGAAAGTTCTTCCACATTCGCCATTCGCCTGATGTGCTCGGGCGTGTCTGAGCTCAGCTTCGACAAGATATCCGCCTCGGCGTTCTCCGCCTGAGGGATCTGCTCGACACTATACGCGGTGAAACTTTTAAGTAGTTCTAGGGCCGTATCTCTGTATTTTTTCATTCTTTCGTCCTTCGCTTCGAACTCTCCCGACACATGGCCAACCACCAGCTTCGAATCACACTTTATCCTTAGCTTCGTCGCGTTCATCCCGGCTGCCAGACGTAACCCGCACAAGAGCGCTTCATACTCCGCCTCATTATTTGATGCCTTGAAGCCGAATCGGATTGAGTAATATGCTCTGAAGCCTTCGGGAGCGATGACTACCACTCCACCCCCCGAATTTTTGGCGGCGGAGGAGCCGTCGGTGAAAACTGTCCACCAGCCGTCGGCTTCAAGTTCCGGGTTCGGCTCTTCTCGGGCGGTGCACTCTACCATGAAGTCGGCCAGTGCTTGGCCCTTGATCGCTGGCCTTGGCTTGAACTTGATCTGGAAGGCTCCAAGGAACACCGCCCACTTGGACATGCGAGAGGGTGCGTTCGAACTCCTGAGCAACGCACCTATAGGCTGTTGGGAAAGTACTTGGACCGGGTGAGCTTGGAAATAGGGCCTCAGCCGCTGCACGGTTGAAACCACGGCCAGCACTGTCTTTTCGGCCACCGAGTACCTAAGCTCGGCACCCCTGAGCGTCTTCGCCGTGTAGTACACTGGGTGCTGAGCTCCGCCTTCTTCTCGGACTAGAACTGAGCTTAGTGCATTGGGCGACACTCCCAAGTAAAGGTATAAGGTTTCTCCGGGCTCGGGATTAGCGAGGATCGGCGGAGAGAGGAGATAAGATTTCAGAGACTCAAAGGATTGCTGGCAGTCTTTCGTCCACACGAACCCTCGGGACTTCTTCACAGCTTGGAAGATTGGAGCGGCTCGATCCGCTACCTTGGAAAGGAAGCGGCTGAGCGCAGCCAACTTCCCGGTCAGCCAACTTCGTGGAGCTTCCATGTCAAGGATGGCGCGCACCTTCTCGGGGTTGGGCTCAATACCGCGCCTGCTCACCATATGTCCCAAGAACTTACCGCCTTGAACTCCGAACGTGCACTTATTCGGGTTCAGCCGCAGGTTGTACTTCTCTATAATCTTGAAAACTCCTTCTAAGTCTTCCGCATGGGTGGTTGCCTGCTTGCTTTTCACAATCATGTCGTCGACGTACGCTTCCATGCTCTTCCCGAGGACGGGCGCGAAGAGCTTGCTCACCATCCTAGCGTAGGTTGCCCCGGCATTCTTGAGTCCAAAAGGCATCACCTTGTAGCAATAAACTCCGCCGGGGGTAGTGAAAGACGTCTTCTCTTCGTCTTCAGGGTGCATTCGGATTTGGTGGTACCCGCTGAAGGCGTCCATGAAACTCATGAGCTCGCAACCCGCCGTCTCATCCACCAGCTGGTCGATGTTCGGGAGTGGGAATGGATCCATGGGGCATGCCTTATTTAGGTCGGTGTAGTCCACACATATCCTCCATGTATTTCCCTTCGGAGCCAACACTACGTTCGCCATCCATTCCGGGTACTTAACTTCTCTGATATGCCCAATGCTTTGGAGGGTGGTCACTTCCTTGGAGACGAACTCCCTCCGCTCGGATGAGAGGAAACACTTATTCTTCTTTACCGGCCTAGATTCCGGGCTGACCGCCAAGCGGTGACATATGACCTTGGGGTCCACCCCCGGCATATCCCCAGGTCCCCACGCGAAGATCACGCGGTAGGCGGCGAGCACTTCCACCAAACGCATCCGCTGGCTCGTCGTCAGGGTCGCCCCGACCTTAACCTTCCGCTCGGGCACTTGTGGGTCGAGCGGCACTTCCTCGACTTCATCGTTGGGTTCAGCCGAAGGCCGAGCTTCCAGTTTACGCATTCCCTCTTGCGCGTGTACGACCATTGTCTCATCCCTCGGCAACTTCTTCGTGATTCTTACGTAGCACAATCGGGCCAACTTTTGGTCTCCCCTAGCCACCCCGATGCCGGACGGAGTTGGGAACTTCATGCATAAGTAGTACGGGGAGATCACACATTCCAAGTCCTCAAGGCCGGGCCGCCCCAGGATCATGTTGTGCGCACAGTCTATGCTCACAACCATAAACTCCATCTTCAGCTTCGCCTTGTGCGCACCATCCCCTACTATCACGGATACGGCGATAACTCCCTCGGCCTCGATAGAGTCCCCCGTGAATCCGGAGAGAGGAGTGCGCATAGGCCTCAAGTCCTTGCGGTTCAAGCCGAGGTCTTGGAATGTTACTCGTACATTATATTGACTGAGCTTCCCGTGTCCACCAAGGTGCGGTGTACTATGGCGTCGTTGATCTCTATCTTCACGACTAAGGCATCCCGTGTTGGACATGAGTTCAAACCCCTTTATTATTTTTTGGATTATTTTTGTTTTGATGAATGACAAACAGGATGATTAAATCGATATTCGAAAATTTATTCGGATCAAGAAAAGCAAAGAAGGGCATCAAGAAGTTTCGGCGATAATTCACGCTCACCGCTACGCAGTTTTTTTTGAAGTGAAGCGAAGACTCCGAAGAGTTTTTATTTTTATTAAGTCTAGGAATTTTTGTAAGGATGACAATATCTTCTGCACAAAACAATTTAATTTCTGAGGGATAAAAATTATTATTATTATTATTTTGAGTCAGTTGAAAAATCACTTTTCCTCTATCTAAAATATTTTACTGAGTCAGTTTCAAAATAAGTGTGTCAAAACTTCTTAAAAACTTTTTTTAAGATTACACAAATTTTACTTGGTAAGAAAAATTTACTTTAAATATTTTTTTGTGTACATCGTTTAAACACACAAAATAGTTTTCGGACTCTCTTTTTCTCTCCCCTACTCAAATTCATTGAATAGGAAGATATTATACCAGGAGCGTCCGTTGTCCCAAACAACGAGTTACAATCCAAACTCATTCCAATCGGAATTGGCTTGGGCCCTTTGTGTTTGCGCATTATTTTCTTGTTAATCGATTATTTCCTCTAGGATAATCGATTAGATCCAGCGCAATTTCTCAGGACATAAAACTTAATCGATTTTTTCTTTTATGAACCGCCTAATCGATTTGTTACTTCACTTTAATCGATTTATAAGCTTTTCGGTGGGGCTGCTCAATTTTGAACAATAATCGATTATTTCTCAGCAATTAATTGATTAGTTCGGACAGAGCCTATTAATCGATTAATGGACTTCATTTAATCGATTATGGTGTGTTTTTCTTTTAAGGCATTTCGCTTCTATGTACCGTAATCGATTTAACCTTCTACCTTAATCGATTAATTTTATCTGGTGCATATTCTCAACCTGCTCCAACGGATTTATTTTTTCAGTCAGCCTATTTAATCCCTCATTCTCCTTCTTCTCCACACTTCCTTCTTGCACTCAAAATATTCATTGAGCCTTTGTCATTCCTTGCTTTATCTTCCTCATCAAAACATTATTTTTGAGAGTTAGAAATATTTTCTTTAAGTGCTAAAGAAGTTGTCATCCATAGAGCTTTAATCCTTCAAACACTACTTTGCTCAATTGTGTGAGCTTTCATTCTTGTGTTGTAAACTCAATCTCATTTGAGTGTTGTTCAAAAGACTTGTGTGACTCAAGTCTTGTTGTTGTAAGAAAGTGAGGCTTGTGTGATTCAAGTTCTCAAGTTGTACCGGTTTTTCAAGCACCCGTTGAAGCTTGAAGATTAGTAGGACTTTCGAGAGAGTCTCTCGGAGGACTGGACTAGCCACGAGGTGGTGAACCAGTATAAATCCCGGTTTTCTTCTTTCCCTTACTCTCTTTACTTATTCCTGTGATTTTTTTTTTACGCGAAAAACGCACATTCTTGAAAACAACTCTATTC